CACGGACCGCGAGATCGTGACCTGGCTGAAGTCGGACGCTTAACCGACTGCGCCACCCAGGCGCCCCCATTGACATTTTAGTAAAATTTGTTCTTCCCATCCAGGAGCATGGAATCTTCTTCCATTTCTTTGTATCTTCTTCAATTTCTTTCATCAGCTTTCTATAGTTTTCAGTGTATAGATTTTTTACCTCTTTGGTTAGATTTATTCCTAGGTATTTTGTGGTTTTTGGTGCAACTGTAAATCGGATCGATTCCTTGATTTCTCGTTCTGTCGCTTCATGGTTGGTGTATAGAAATGCAGCCGATATCTGTGCACTGATTTTATATCCTGCAACTTTCCTGAATTTATGAATCAGTTCCAGCAGTTTTTTGGTGGAATCTTTTGGGTTTTCCATGTAGAGTATCATGTCATCTGTGAAGAGTGAAAGTTTGACCTCCTCCTGGCCGATTTGGATGCCTTTTATTTCTTTGTGTTGTCTGATTGCAGAGGCTAAGACTTCCAATACCATGCTGAATAACAGTGGCGAGAGTAGACATCCCTGCCTTGTTCCTGACCTTAGGGGGAGTTGCCCCTCACCTTTTAACCATCCTCCACGAGCCCCAAGTCAGGGCTCTGCATGCTTTGGAGCTCAGTAAGATATGCTTGCTAGCCTCTACCTAATATCTTAGGTGTCTCCCCCAGTTTTTCTTTTTGGTGGCTTCTAAAGATTGAAAAAAAAGCCCCTGGAGAGGTAGGTCTCAGAGTTTCAGGATTTATATATAAAGATAGAATAATGAGGAATTTCCTAGATAGATCTATCCTGTTTTCAGGATATTCCTTGCTGGCTTATAACAATGGAACACTTTTCTGTTTAGCTCCAGAGAAAGAGACACATTGGGAATGACATTGTGGCCATCATCTTCCAAGAAGAAAACACACCGTTTGTCCCAGATATGATTGCCTCCAACTTCTTACATGCCTACATTGTTGTGCAGGTCGAGAATCCGGGCACAGAGACCCCATCCTACAAGGTGAGGAGAACGTTGGAGGAAGTGGTGGGCCCAGGCACTTCACCACATCTTACGGATTTAGTGAAATCAAGGACCGTTAGTTCTCAGTGGCTCCATTCCACTCCAAAATGGTACTCCTAGTGTTGGTATGATCAGTTTTCTAGAAATCCTAGGTTTCTGTGATTTGGGAGCCAAGAGGCCTTCCTTATGAGGTCATATCCTCCATCTGGCTGCTTCCAGGTTCAATAGCATCCAACTCAAGGGTTGAGAAGCCCCCAGTGCCTCTGTTTGGAATCTGGTAATGCCATTGGCTGGACTAAGGCAGAGCCAGGGGAGAGGAACAAAAGAGAGGAGGGTGGGGAGGACTATCAGGAAAGGGAAGGGAAGAGGTGTGGTAACAAGGGGAAGAAAGGAAAGGAGAAATGTTTATGGTGACAGCGGTGGAGAGCAGGGGGTCCGGCAGACCCTGGCCATGGGGTGGGCTCTTCTTGTTTAGCTGTTCTAGAATAAACCATTGGTCTTAATTTGAAGACTCCCAGGGAGGGGGGGTTGCAAGCACCTGAGTCTAAGTCTGAATCTAAGCCTCCAGATCGATAAGTGGTCTTCCAGGTTGGCTCAGTGTCCTCCCCGATGCAGGGAGGCCCTGGCAGCCCTCACCCTGCCCGTTGCCGATGGCTGTGCCGCCAGCCCTCCGCTCCCCTCCCCTTCTCCGTGAGAAACAATTCTAACCTCTTGGGCAACAGTTTCTATCTCACCGGTGCTGGGGACTGTGGGCTCCAAGGGAGATAGACTGAGGCAGGGTCTTTAAGGTGGATGTTAGTCTTTGAACCTCTTGTGGATATACGCAGAACGCTTATGTGCAAGATGTTGCGTTCATGTGCTTCTTTGCATATTAGGGGGAGAGAGATCAAAGGTCAGATTCTCAGAGGGCTCCCTGTTCCCCAGAAGTGTTAGGAACCACGGTTCTAAGGGAGAGGGAAATGAGCCTGTCGTTGCCAATGGGAACTTGGAATGATCTGAAAATGGAGTAACCGTGTAATAGCTTAGGCCAGTGCTGGTTCCTAGGGCTTACAAAGCCCAAGTGTTTCATGGCCATCTTCATGAAGTATCAACTTTGCTTGAAGATTCTGGAAAGGAAAATGATGTCGTATAATTATTACATCAGTAGAAACCCACATATTTGAGTGCAAAATGCACATCAACTTTAAAAGCAGATATGAGACTACAAACAAAACCCCACACTGTCTCCTACGAGGAAAGCTGACTCTTTTGTCCCCATGTTCATGTTGATGTCCATGCTTCTCCGTCATTGAGCATTTTCAGCTTTTCGGCTGAAAAGTTGCAGAAGCCATGTTTTGGGCATTTCCTTGGAGGATCACCTTCTTAACACCAAAATGGGCATTCCCTTCAAACAGCTGTTTGATTTGTTGATGGAAGCAAGTTTATTCTTTCAGTGCCCCCTGTGTGCTGGGGGTGGGACACGTGGAAGTGACCTACAGGGAAGGGGGAGAGGGCCAGTGAGTGCAGTTCAGCCACCGGGCCACTCAGACAGCCAACTGACTCTCTTCACAGCCAGTGGAGGCAGAGAGCCGTTGGGTAGGATCCTCGAGGTAAAGCTGTGTGGTAGGAGGGCTCCCAGACGCTGCCAGGCAGTCATGTGCGAACGTGTGGCTTGTCTGCTGGGCCTCTGCTGGCAGAAGAGGCCTCTCGTGGAGGTTTAGTATTTGTTTTTAGCTCCTGATAGGAAATGGAACTCAGCTAACTGGCTTCTCCACTTTCTCAAGAGCTTAGTGGGGTGGGAAAATGCAGAGATCCAAAAAAACACCACTCCCCTCCCCTCCACCTCCAGCTTTGATGCCTGAAGTCTTTACCAAGGCTTCTCAGCCAAAGCCCACAGTCCAGGGAGAAGCAGTGTCCTCAGAGAGGGTGGCAATAAACAGAGAAGCAGGACCCACAGGGAGAGCCGTGCTCTGTCCCCAGGCTTTGGGACTGTGTGGTCCACCTGCCGGGCAAACATCCAGGCTTGAAGGCAGACCTGTGAATGGGGCTGGGGATGCAGGGCGTGGGGAGGGAGGCCAGCCTTCCAACATCCTCCCCAGAGCTCTGTCCATTCATATTCCCAGCAGCACCCCAGGTGATGAGAAGACCCGGGAGGACCTGGTCAGATTCCTCAGAGGGTCCAGGGTGAAATGGGACTTTCACTGACCTCTGCAGACTTAGGGGCTATGGCAAAGGAGGGTGAGATATCCCCAGGGGCTGAACAGTGTCCCAGGAGGCCTCCACTGGGGAGGATGAACAGGAAAGAAAAGGAAATAGAGGGAAGGACAGGGGTGGGAAGGTGCAGGAAAGCCCCCCAGACTGAGAGGCTCAGGAGCTGATGGTTCTGGTCCCGGCCCTGCCTCTGACTGCTGCATGACCTTGAGCCGGTTCCTTCCCTCTCTGGACCTCAGCTTCCATCTGTGTGAAATGAGGAAGTTGGACTAGACCAGCTCTGAGTTCCTTCCAGCCCTGACATGCTGCGGGAGGGGAAGCGGAGTCAGGGGTCGGGGGACTTGAGGAAGAGGGGTGTGTGTGTGTGTGTGTGTGTGTGTGTGAGAGAGACAGAGAGAGAGAGAGAGAGAGGGAGGGAGGGAGAAGAAAATGGTTGAGGCGAACTCTGTAGTATTTCAAGTGTCTTTTCTTAGGTGCAGGTCAGCAGGGGAAGTAAAAAAACAAAGCCCCAGGTAACAGGTTACCCCATACTGGGTGCTTGCTCTGCACCAGGCACTGTGCTAGGCCCTTAGAAGCACAGCCTCCTTGAACCTTCACGAGCCCCTGGTCAGGCAGGGTCTCTTGTTAGCCCTATTTTACAGGAAGGAAATTGAGGCTGAGAGCCTAAGCCACTTAAGGCTGGAGGCCACAGAGCCCGGAGGTGGGGAGCTGGAGTGCGTCCAGGTCTGCCAGTGGTCTTCACCACTGAGCCGTCAGAGCAGGTGGGAACTTGGCTCCAAAACTCAGGGGTGCATGAAAGGTGATGTCAAATGATTTTTCAGACGGGAATTTTGTCCCTGTCCTGCCCGGATGGAAGGGAACTCCGGCTGAACCGTTACTAGAACTCCCTCCTCTTCCTGTCTCAGGTCACCCTGCCCCTGATTCCTGAAGCCCGGCAGAGGTCTCAGGAATCCTATGGGAAGCACCCCACTGGGGAGGGGTGCTGCCTGTGTACCCCCTTCCCCTCACTGCTGATCTGGTGCCTGGGCAGCCTTCCATGGTTCCCCAAGGCTTCCAGGCCACACTTGGCCATGCATGTCAAGGTGGGAGCCCTTGGAGGCTCCCCGCCTCCCTGGTGTATCCTTGAACTCACATGCTCCAAGCCTCCTTCTCTTCCCAGCCTCGAAAATTCTCTTCCCCACAGTACCTGCACCTCTTTCTCAGCCCTGCCCTGCCCCCTGCTGGGAGGCCCACACTGAATTTAGAAACTGAGAAGGTGGGGCCGTGTTCTGGCAGCTTCTGCTTTCGGCCCAGCAACCCACCTGTCCTCAAGAAGAGGGAACAGCAAAGCCCCGGGCACTTTGTTGGAAAAGGGGTCAGGAGAGGGAACACAGTGGGGATAGAAGATGCATCACCCGGAAGGATCCTGTCCCCTGCTTTTCTGACATGGCTGCTGTGGTGGGCTTATCTGACCAAGAGACTCGGCAGGTTGAAGAGCATGTCTGAAGCGCCTTACCCAGTCAGCACAGACCACTCTAGAGCAAGCCTGAGAAGGAGGGCCATAGGGGTGGGAAGAGGGCGGAGGGCCTGACCTCTGGCCTACCCTCCCCCACCTCAGTTCCTGTGCACAGTGGGTGGTGGTGGGGGACTGTGTTTGGCAGCTGGAACCAGCCAGGGATCATGTCAGCTGAACACACACCATTTCCTAATTCTGGGCACGCAGACAGCCTTGAGCTTGGGGAGAGAAAGCAGTACTGACCAGCTCTCTCCCGCTGTTTCCTTCCAGACCCTGGCAGGGCCTTCCCTTGGCCTGGCTCTGAGCTGCCTGCTCACCCGGTCTGGCAGACTCTCTGCATCTGCCCTGCTTCATAGGCCAGGGAGGCTGGCAGCACGCCAGGGCCAGGCTCACACCAGCGGCAGTCTGGGAAAGGGAGAGGGCAGAGTCTCTAGAGAGGCCTGCAGCCTTCGGGCTGAGAGCAGGTGAAACCAGGGCACGTCCACGCAGGGAGGGCATCTGGATGTGCTGGGCCTGTCCCGAGGCTGGGACACCCCTAGGCAGAGCGCCTGGGTGCTTTCACTCCTAGTTCCTGCCTTCCCAGGCTGGCCGGAAGTGGACACCACACCCAGAGCCTGGGGCACCCTGTGCGAGAGCACCGGGATGTCCCCCCTACCCACAATTCCCAGCCTGGGCCCTGGCGCTCTGTTGGTTCAGGGCTCACCCAGACAGACTTCTAACCCTGTGGTGGGGCCAGGGCTCCCAAACACTAGTCCACCAACCGCACGAAAGCTTTGTGGAGTGTTTAACAGTTGCGGATTCCTGGCTCCGCCCCAGTGCTTGTGATTCAGTAAGTTTGGGGTGGAGCCCATGCAATCGGTATTTATTTTTTAAACACTTGAAGTGATTCAGGTTTGGGAGTCAGTGTTGTGGGAAAAGGACCACAGAGCAGGACCAGGAGGTCTGGATTCCCTGGTCATCTGTGTGGCTAATCACCTGTGTGCCTGAGGGGAGATGGCTCCCAGTCTCTGGGCATCTGTGTCCCCATCAGTAAGACAGGGTTAACGGTTCTCACTTTGTCTTCTCCGTGGGATTAATATCCATTCAAATGAGGCAACGAGATAAGTCCTCCTGGGCACTTGTACTGCGTTAGAAGCGGAGTCCCAGGCTACTCCTCAGTCCTGTCTGGTCATCTTGCCAAACTTGTTTCTGGCCTCCAGGAATGTAGATGAGAGCATGTGGATGGCTCTGTGCAGCCGGCCCCACTTCTAGGAATAACGACTTGGGCCATGCTGGTGATGGCTCATGGGAGTGTTGGATTTGAGTTCTGGGGAGGGGAGGGCAGAGGACTGCTCTGGGTGGTGGGCTTTCCTAGGGCCAGGGCTTGGAATGCATTATCCTCCTCAGCTTGGATCTCTTCCCTCCTGGCCCACACCGAGACTCTGTTTCAGGTGTCAGTCACTGCACGGGAAGATGTGCCCGCCTTTGGCCCACCTCTGCCCAGCCCTCCTGTTTTCCAGAAGGTAAGAAACCCCTTTCTGCTCTTCTCTTATCTCAGGCTCTAGGTTTCAACATCTGAGTGGCCGTGGCTGGAGTGGGGCCGGATCTGGGCTGGGGACGTTAGAAGCACCTTAGGCAGGCTTGGGAGAAACTCCTTACTTGGGGTCTCTCCCCTCCTCTCCTGGTGCCGCCAGCCTGGCCTAGTACAGTGCCTCTTCTCACAGTGTTTGACGCTGGCTTTGCTTTTCTGCTAGAAGAAACATTTTTGTACCTATGCCTCAGTCCCAGAAGCCTTGGACAAGAATTGCTTTCAGTCATGGAAACGCTGGGGCAAGGGGTTGATTTCCTGGGACCAGGAGAGCCGGTTTCCACATTGGCATCGTAGGTGGGCCTGGCCTGGGCTAGAAAATGACTGAATGTCAGAAGGAGGCCTTTTAGGGACTCTCCTCGGACCCTCTGTTCTGCTTACCTGTTGCTGTGGCTGAAAGCTCTTTCAGCAACAGCTGAGGCTGAGAGAATCCCAGAGCTTCATGTCTGTTCCAGGGCCCGGAGTTCAGGGAATTTCTGCTCACCAAGCTCACCAACGCAGAGAACGCTTGCTGCAAGTCGGACAAGTTTGCAAAGCTGGAGGTGAGAGCACTGTTTCTGGAAGTCTTCCTCCTGCCTTCTTGGCTGCTTTCAGCCGGCCCGTCCCGGGGGTCTTCTCCTGGGGGCTGCTCAAGGTGCGGGGCACTGTGTTTGCCCCTCTAAGCCTTCAGTCCTGCGTTGATTTAGGAACTATTTCCTCTTGTGGAAACTTCATGCGAACTTCAGGTCTAACCAACCATGCACCAGTCATTTATTGAGCACCTACTGTGTGGCAGGCTCTGTTCTATTCCCCGTGATACCGGGGTGAGACATAGTTTCTGCCTTATGGAGCTTTTGGGCTGGTGGGAAGGGGCCATTGCTTAAGAGACAGGTATGATATAGTGTCCACACTGGGCCGTGATGGAGGCCAGCACAGGGGCTGTGACTGCTTCTGCCCATGCACAACTGGGACGTGTTCAGGGAAGGCTTCTTGGAGGAGGTGGCCCTTGACCTGCTGAATCTGGGTATCTGACAAGGCTTCTGCCAGGAGGAAAGTTTGAGGAGGGTTATTCTAGGCATGGGAAATAGCATGAGCAAAGGCCGGGCAGATCAGAGCATGACTTTTGAGGGAGCCCCAGAGTGTTTGACATGGCCTGAGAGAAGGACTCGTGTGGGGGTGGATACTCAGCTGGAGAGGTTGGTTGGGTCAGGTCAGGAAGGGCTTTGCACTTTAGAGGTGATGAGGTACTAATACAATACTTAGGAGAGTGATGGTTTGCTTTGCATATTAGAAGATGACCCTGATGTGACAAGAAGGGCAGGTTGCCAGGGAGGAGGGCAGGAAGGGTGGCAAGTCAGCTATTACAGGAGTCCAGGACACATGGTGACAGCTTGCTTGCACTGGCCACAGGAGGAAATGGTTTGGGGGCAGGGTTGGGAGGACTTGATGGAGTCCTGTATTTGGGTGGGACGAAGTGGAATTCCAAGGCGGCTCTTGGGCCTTTGGCCTGGGCTCTTCACCTACCTGGGGATCATTGGAATGAGGTCTTTTAGGACCTGCTGACCTGGAAGTGCCTGCAAGGGTTGCTGCAAGGGCTAGTCCTGGTACGCGTGCACGGCGCCCCCTGGAGGTTGTATCCACGGCCCTGGTGCACTGTCCGGATGGAGAAGGGCAGTTGGGTACGCGGCTGTGGAGCTGGAGGTAGAGATCTGAGCTGGGACTCGGCAGGGTAGAGCTGTGGGATGGCTCGAGGAGAAGGGGCAGGGGAAGAGAGCAGAGGCCAGCCACAGAGCTTTGGTATTGACTGCAGTACTTGTGAGCACGGAGCCTAGCCAGGCCTGAGGTCCACACTGTTAACTGGGATGCTGACGGTCAGGTGTCTGGAGCCCTGGGGAGAGGGCGCATCTCTGTCCTCGGTGCCAGCTCCATCGTCCCCACCCTCTTTTCTTCTAGGACCGGACGAGGGCCGCCCTTCTGGACAACCTTCATGATGAGCTTCACACCCACACACAGGCCATGCTGGGACTGGGCCCAGAAGAGGACAAGTTTGAGAATGGGGGCCATGGGGGATTCTTGGAGTCTTTTAAGGTACAGGCACAGGAATGGCTGGGGATTGTGTATGGTGGAGGTGAGGGTGGGGCAAACAAAGGAAGGGGTCCAAGGTCTTTGGGGTCCTGACCCCGGAGCCCAAGTGCCAGGATTGCAGTGTTGGTAGAGGGCAGGGGCATCGGGAAGTGTGAGCGGGCAGAGCAGCCAGCAGTGTCTCTGGCGTCTTCTGCATCCGTCCTTGATTCGGATTTTGTCTCCTCCTGGCCCAGGAGTCTGAGAAACAGGGACAGGGAAAGAGTTGTCAGCAGGCAGCAGGAGAGGAGCCAGCACAAACCAGGAACATTACTGCCTTCAACTTCCTCCTTCTGTGGCGGGATGAGGAGTCCAGGAAAGGATGATAAGAGCCAGGACAAGCCTTAGGGGTCTGTAACAGCCAGCGTGTGGTACTGTGATGGTCCACCTGGCAGGGCGTTGGAGGACCCGGCCAGGGCCGGTGGGACGGAGTTACAGGCAAGTAAATCTCTGTGGACTTTGCAAAAGGAAGAACTTTCTAACGAGAACGAGCTGCTAAAAGAAGTAGTGAGCTCGCTGTCCCTGGAAGTATTCAAGTAGAGCTCGGGCAGCCACTGAGCTAGTGTGAGATACAGGAGGCTTATCATCACATGTTTACTGAGCGTTTTTGGTCCACACAGCTCTTACGTCCAGCATCTAGCTTGACCCTGGCTGTATTCGTGTGTAGTCAACAGAACGAGTCTTGTTATTCCTACTCACGCGTGAGGGCACAGGCGAGAGGGGCCGCAGGACTGCTCAAAACCTTACACCTACTTAGAGGTAGAGAAACAAACTCAGCCTTTCTGGTTCTTAGGTTAACAACATTCTGCCGGATTGCCCGTTGCAGAATGACTTGTCGAGCTGCCGTTTTGGGGGCAGTATGTGTGGGGTCAGGGTGAGCCCTGCCTGCGTTAGAATCCCAGCTCGGTGTGATCGTGGGCACAGTCTTTAAAGTCCCTGAGCTGCAGTGTTCTCAATGACACACGGATGATCAATCGGACCTCTGGAGTTGCTGGAGGAATTCACTGAAATAATACGTGGAGAGTGCGCGTTGCCTGGAACACGGTAAATGCTTGGTGAAAGCGTTAGCTATTATTGCTGCGTAAGGTGAAAACTTACTGTGCGCCAACCCATCTAAAGCCTCACAAGTGCCCTCTGTGCCCTGTGAGGAAGGCTGTTATGATGGGGATAATAACTCATTTCCAGTTTTATTAATTGTGGGTGTAATTTTTCGTGTGAGGAAATTAAGGCTCAAAGAGACAAAGTAATTCGAATCCGAGTGTTGAGTTGAGTCTGCTGGATCGCAGAGCCCGTGTTCTACATGATGCTGCCTCTGGTCCCAGACTCGGTTAGGATTCCACCCACGCCAGCCTGGCCTGGGCAAGCCTGGGGTCTGTCCCTGGCGGCCCGGCGGGACCGCAGAGAACAGGGCATGGCTCCGCTGGCCCTAGTCGAGGCAGCTGCTGAGATTCCTCTCAGGGGCGGGGGCGGGGGCGGGGGTGGGGGGTGGGAGCCGAGCTGCTTGTCCAGGCTGGTGGGAGATTCCTGGGGCATCTGTTTCAGGCCTGATGGACAGCAGCAGCCAGGGTGAAATAGGAGAAATTGCAGATCAAGAGCAGAGGGGCATGAGGGAGAAGGGGGGCAGGGGAGCAAAGAGGGAGCTAGGTCGGCTAGCCCGGCAAGAGAAGGGGGAATGTGAAACCCAGGAAATAGGAAAACTTTTGTAGCACTGCCCCTTCATCATATCGAGCACATCACAATGCTCCCACATCCCGCAGTAAAATGTAATTTGTGTATGGCTTAAGCTGCAGGTGACTAGCTAACATAATGTGATATTTTGTAGACTTTAATGAAGCGTTTGTTTTGCAAGTTTCTTTCTGTATTTTGAAGCTCACAGTCGGGTTTTTCAAGTTTCAACTGTTTTTATAACCTGGAAAAGCTCGTAGACTGTGCACACTGCCCATGGTGCCTTTGGATAAAATGGTCCAGCAGCTACATGCAGGTTGTGGGTCTAAAGGAGGGTGGCTCCAGGCCACTTGCCCAGTCACCTGCCTCTGGAGGAGTAGCAGTTGATCTGTGTTCGACTCTAGTGGGACTGACTGAAGAGGTTTCCCACAGAGAGGAGGCTTCAAGATTTTAACAACTACTCATCTTTGATCGAGTAGTCCAGGATCTTTTTCTTTTCAACCCTTAATCCTTCCACCTGTGGGCTGGAGACATCTGCTTGTGCATTCTGCTTCCATGCCCGTCCCGGAGGCAGCGCTTATGGGGTATGGGAGGGGTTGTCACGATCGGTCACACAGAGTGAGCCTTCAGAGCTCTGACCATTATGATGAACTTTTTTAAAACCCTGAGTTGGGAACAGGAGCTCTTTTACTCTGTTCCTGCCACCATTATCCTCTTATCTCCCAGGCTGTGGAGGCTGGAGCTGGGGGCCAGCCAGGAGCAGCACGGAGCCCAGCGGCCTGGAGGTTTGTGATGTCTGGGCCAGGCCCACGGTCTGACCCAGCTCGGGAAACCACCTCTCGTCGTTGTGCTGTTTCTTCATGCACTCCTGGGGTGGTGCTGTGGCATCAGAATTATTGGCATTCCTCATGGAGTTCCTCACCTGCGCCTCTGGAAAGAAGTGGTGCACAAAATGATCCCAGAAAGAAAAGTTGTGTGTTTTATCTCCTTCTGGTCAAAGGTCTCATCTCGTGTGGAGACAGTTGAGAATTCTCAGGGCTAAAAGCAATCTCAACCATCCATCCCCTTGCCTCTCGGGACCATTCTCCCTTCCACCCCCCTACAGAGCAGTGGCCCTCTGTCCCTCTGCAGAGAAGCAGACCCATCGCTGCCCTAGGTCATGCTGCCTGGCACCTCACACCACGTAGAATAGTTCTCTCTTCTTAACCTCGGTCCCACTGGCTGTACTTCAGGCTTTTCTTCCATGAGAAACAGAACAGTTGGTTTATGGATGTCCAGACCTGCTTCTCAAACTGAGTGCTGAGAGATAGTCTCAGGAATCTGCCAGTTCTACAAACACTGAAAAATTTTGCATTTTCACTTAGATGATAACCTAAAAATATACAGATTTCCAATTATAGAGACCAAACTTTTGCAGCGAAACTCTCAATTAAAAGACATTTCTGTGGAATAAGAAAGCATATTGTATATGCGGTCCGTGGAACCACTGCTGTGGGGGTCTGTGGATGTATTCTGGGTCTTGCAAGAATATTTTTCTTTATAAAAGAGCTGTGGGACGCCTGGGGGTTAAGTGTCCAATTCTTGATTTCGGCTCAGGTCATGATCTCATGGTTCCTTAGATCAAGCCCCATGTTAGGCTCTGTGCTGACCATGCAGAGCCTGCTTCGGATTCTCTCTCTCCCTCTCTCTCTGCTCCTTCCCAGCTCATGTGTGCGCTCTCTCTCTCAAAATGAATTTTAAATGAATAAAAATGAAAGAGCTGTACATTACTCAGCTTCCAAAAATATTGATCTCTGGACCATTGTTTCCAAATGCCATTCTCAGCCACTGCCAGCTGTTGATGAAGCTATTATTGGTCTGTAATGAAATGAAAAGAAAAAGTAACGCTCCTCGGAGGCACCTGGGTGGCTCAGTTGGTTAAGCATCCAACTCTTGATTTTGGCTCGGGTCACGGTGTCGCGGTTCGTGAGAGCGAGCCCCGCCTGGGGGCCCTCTGTGCCCCTCTCAAAATAAATAAAACTTAAAAAAAGAAAAAAAAAGTAGCACTCCTTGATGTAGCTACGTGACATGTACACAAAATACACGTAAGCCACATTTTGAGAAACATTGAGCTGGCCCAACCACCCATTAACCTTGTCGTGCAGAAGGGAGAATGGAGGACCAGAGAGGAGAGGGTCCAGTGGCAGAATGGAGACCACCCAAGCAGGGACAGCTGCTTTCTCCAGCCTTTGAGAGGTGGTGATAGTTAATGCACTGGTGTGATACGTATGACCCCTAGTGGCAGGAGAAGGGCAGGAGGCTGCAATTTCCCAGGCAGAGCACCCGCAAGCAAGCAGGGGCAGCCCGGGTGTTCGTGGATTGGAGCTCCGGTCTATGGAGGGGGGAGGGGTATTTCCTTCTCTTGTCAACCTGCATCCTTTATTTGCCCTGCTAGAAGGACAGAACACCCCATTCCAGTCCTCAGTGTACCTCCTGATGAGGAGTGTCTCAGGAGGCAAGCGGTTAGCATCTTTCTCTCCAAGCACCCCTCCCTTTGTTGCTTGCCTTGTGCAGCTAGGCACGTCCGCCTTAGCGCTCATGTCTCTGCCTCGTGTCCCCTAAGTTTGTTGAAGCGAAACAACTCGCAAATCCCATTTAGAATCATGAGGAAGCACAAACCCCTAAGGAAGCAAGGCTTGTGGTTGGCCCAGAAGAGACTTGCTCCGTGTATAACACTAACTGGTAGCTCAGTCCCCTGCCTAAATGAAGCGACATAAGTAGATAGAGAGAAAGTGCCACCACCTCCCCTCCCCCACGAAGGGAGAGCTTGTTCAAAAGTAAGCCGTGAGGTGAGCTGAGGGCTGGGAGACCGTGAGGAGGGACCCTGGAACCGGCAGTGGTTAGCCGGGGGGAGAGCACTCTCTGAGGGCACTCGTGTCCTCAGACAGTTGAGGGACGGTTGTGTGAAATATGGAACAGCCTGGTCTGAGATTGAAGAACGAGTAAGATGCCAGCTCGGTGCACAGAAGGCCTTTCCAAGGGTCGGGCTGTCCGCCACTGGAGTAGGCAGTGCTGAAAGCAGCGAGCAGCCTGTCCCTGGGAGGATGCAGGCGGAGGGGAAGACTGTCTTTTCTCTACCCTTTCCTCGCTCTCCTTCCTCCCCGGTTTGGGAAGGCTGTGCTTCCAGCTCCACATCAGATTGAAACGTAAAACACTTCAGACCACGTCACTGGATGATTTTGTCCAAATCCAGCTTTGTTTTAAGGCTTTAGGGCAACCGTCATGTCTCTGACCTTCCGTCCCCAAGAGCGGGGAAGGAGAGCTGGGCCTGAGAGAGCAGGTTGCACACCGGGTATTGGGCACCCACGGTCTGACGTCCTCCCCACGCAGGACCGTCACCACGTTGTGCGAACGAGGAGGCCATGTGTCAGAGAGATTCATACACTGTGTTGGGAAGACCAGGATTCAGACCTCTTTCTGTTAGCTTCAAGCAGCAGATGGCCACCCTGCACATCCCTGGGGTTCCCTGTCAGCCCATTGTCTCCTCAGATTTATCTTGCGGACTCAGACAGCGGCACCAAGGGCATTTGAGGAGAAAACGTCTTTCCCGACATCGACCTTGGAGACTTTTTTTGAAGAGAGTCGAAAGCCCTTGGTTTCTGATCACCGTTAGTCCATCAACCAGTTCCATTATATGTTCAATCTCGACAGCTCTTTGGGAGACCGGGACCCTTTCATCTGGAGCCCAGGGTCCTGGATTTGGGTTCCCACTCCATCTCCCACCTGCAGCGACCTTGGGTGATCGTTTGCCTTTTGGGACCTTTCCTATCAGTGCCTGTCCTGTCTGCATCTCAGAGTTGTAGGGATCCAGCGAGTTCATGTACACGAAGCCCAGTAGACCAGATCCCATCAAACCACATCAAATCTTTCTTGGGAAGAGACCCGTGAGGAGGGCATCAGAACATACACGATTAGCTGACACATCGTCGTTGATGACGGTGGCGGTGGCGGCAGACCCACAGGGGCCCCAGCGGGATGTCATGATGCTGAGATTTATGGAGCACTTGACTCACTTAGGGAGGTTTGCTGTTTATCCAGAGACACCTCAGTGTGGTGCCACACCATTCCTGGCCTCGGTTTTCCAGAGGGCGTGTGACTTAATGTTGTCTTTGGGCGATGGAATGAATAGAATGTACTGGCTGGAAACAGTTGCTAGGCGATTCTGTTCTGTGGTCTAGAAAGGGAGAGAGAGATGATGTGCCTCAGGCAGTGTCTTTGACTCACACAGGAGAGGCTAGATGACATCAGGGGTAAGAGTCTGGTGGGCTCTGTGCCTCATTTGCAGAAATGGTTCGTCTCCAGAGCATTCGTGTTTGCCAATGGCTGTCTTTCCTGAATCGGCTTCCTGCATCCATGCCTTTGTCCTTCTAAGTCAGTTTTCTGAAGCTAAGTTTCTGAGGACCTCAGCCTGCTCTCACAGTAGGGAAAACCCACGAGCCCACTTAGCAAGGGCTCTTGCGGGGACTCATGGCTCAGTGTGGTCCTTGGCATCTGTTATCCCGGCTTGTTGGCTTCGTCCCGCAGGCTTGGTCTCTCATGGCCCCAAGGTGGCTATGGCAGTTTCAGGTGCAGAATGTCACATCTCTTTTGGAAATCCTTTAAAAAAATTTTTTTTTCAATGTTTATTTATTTTTGAGAGACAGAGAAACGCAGAGCACGAGCAGGGGAGGGGCAGAGAGAGAGGGAGACACAGGATTCAAAGCAGGCTCCAGTCTCTGGGCTGTCAGCACAGACGCGGGGCTTGGACTCACAAACTGTGAGATCATGACCTGAGCCGAAGTCAGACGCTTAACCGATGGAGCCGCCCAGGTGCCACTGAGAGTCCTTGAGGAGACCTTTCCCCACAGCTCCCATCAGACACCCCTCATGCCCCACCGGCAAGGGGATAGGTTATGTGACCACCTTAGACTGATCATGATACGCCCTTGTCCCGTGGAGGAAGAGGGGAAGTTGGACCAGACAGTGGCTCTGCACTGAGGAATATGCCAGGGATGGCATTTTTATGTGCATAACTCATCATATCTCCATTTGTGTATCTTGGCGTATGTTGGGGTTTATATCTAGGCCCTCTGTCCTACTACCTATTAGCTGGGTGCTCCTGGTCGGGTCACTGAGCCTCTCTGAGCCTTACCTGTGAAATGGAATGGAGGGCATCCGCACGGTGGGCTTGTCGGGAGGATACATCTAAAGCTCTTAGAGAGCCTGGCGCGTCATAAGTCCCCAATAAACATGGCAGCTCTTCTGTTTGTGTGCTTCCTGTGTGCCTGTCCCTGTGCCAGAACCAGGAGAATTACAGGAGAGGAGTCAGAGAAGTGTCAGACCTGACCTCTGCCTCTAAGAAGTGTCCAAGTCGGCTAGGGAAACAAGACGTGTTCCTAAAATTAGGGCAACACTAAAAGACCCAGGGCCTGTGGGAGTGCTCCCTCTGTGTTAACCAGCTGTCCTCACTATGGCCACTTCTCTTGGTTCCGGTTCCAGAACAGCATAGACCTGCCAAGTGGTCTGAGGGAGCATTGTCACCTCCCAGGCCCGTCCCTGTCAAAGGCTTAACGGCCTTGATTTTACCTGTTCCTGTCTGTGCCACGCTGTGACAAGCCCCTGATCATCCTGGGTGTCCCCTCCTGGACCCTTCACTGTTTGCCAATGTGCCCTTTGCTCTTTGGTGGCCCTGAGTGGCCTGAGTGTGCACAAGTGTGCACAAGCTGAGGGCTCTGTCCACAGACCCCACCAGGAGGGCAGGGGCATCCGGTGGGCAGGGCTCCAACTCTCAGGTCTCTGTCTCTTCTCCCCATAGAGAGCCATCCGTGTGCGTAGCCACTCCATGGAGACCATGGTGAGCAGCCAGAAGAAGCAGCACAGTGGAGGCATCCCTGGCAGCCTCAGTGGGGGCATCTCCCACAACAGCATGGATGTCACCAAGACCACCTTCTCGGTGAGTGCCACAGGCCCCTGGGGCAGCATGCGGTTCCTGGGGAGGGCCCCCCACCCCAGGCCTGTGAAGGATGATGTATTCACCCAGGCTTGGGCCAGGTGGCCTGAGCAGGGACGGGGCAGATTGAGGCTGTTTGGGGGTGACCCTAGGCCCTGCCTGTGAAATGGAGCCTCCATTTCAGTTTCAGTTTTGGGGCACTTTTCTCTGCCCAGAGGCTGGGGACCCAGGAGGGGTGTCCTTGCTTTTGTTATTAATGATGACGGTAGTCACCCTTGGCTTGCTGTGCACCAGGGGCTGAACTAAGTGATTCATAGACCTTATCTCATCTGATCCCTCTAACAGCTCTTAGAGGTAGACATTGATGTGTTCTCCATTTCGAATTTGAGGAAGGGAGGCCCAGAGGGGTTTAGTAACCTGCCACAGGTCACCTAGTTAAGCTGAAAAGCTGGGGTTTGAATGCATGTCTCCCTGATCCAAAGTCTTGGCTGTTAGTCACTGTGTATGCAGTTCCCAAGGAAAGAGCCTGGTGTGTCTGTGGGTTTGGGTCTGGTCTGTTTGCACCAGGGACTGGCCAGGCGAAAGAACCACATAGTTGGTCCTTTTAAAAAGCAAAGGGACTTTGCATTCGGATAGAGTAGGGTTTTCTTTTCTTTCCTTTTCTTTTTCTTTATTTTTTTTCCCCAGATAGTTACCCACCATGATACTAAGGACCAGTATTGTAAGTGGTCTTACATAATTCATTTAACTTACCAAACATTTCATACTATTGTCTTGTCCCACCCAGAAGGTCTGTGAAATGAGCAGGGCAGGACAATTATCCCCATTCTGTGGGTGAGGAGACTGGGGCCCAGAGAGTTTGGCTACTCACCCAACGTTGCATAGGACACAAATGGCAGAAGTCGGGGCCTGGATTAGAGGTCTGGAGGGCTCTAAAGGATGACTGCAGTCCCTGCTCCTCAGTCTCCCACCCCTTGCTCCTCCCCCCTGCATGTAGCTGAAGCAGAGTCACATTCTCGGCAGTTCCCTTGGCCTGTGGATCTGGGTCTGCCGCTCTCATTCTGTCTTGTTACTGAGACACTCAGCTTGGACCCCGTTATTGTGAGGAATGGATGGAGAGTCAGAGCCGTGGGTTCTTGTCCTTGTCCTTATGGTGATTTGCTGTGTGACCCTAGCCCAGTCCCCTCACCCCTAGGCTCCTCAGCTTCCTCACTGGTAAAGCTAGCGGTTGGACCAGGTCATTCCCCGGGCTCTCTCAGCTTCCTGGTTCTCAGTCTGTGACCCCATGAATCATCCTGACCTTCTCAATGTGCTGGGCTCTCCTTATCATGGCCCTGACCCCTTGTTCCTCCAAGAATTGTGGTCTTTGGTGATTATTACCTGGGGCCACAAGGTCTGGCTTAAGAACACAGGAAAATGGGCTGCAAATGGCTTGAGTCTTGGGGTCTCAGCTCCTGTTACATAGATCCTCGCCTTCCCAGCTGTCTTGCTGTTTTGTGGGATCCCCTCCAGACTGGTTGGGGGTTGCACAAGCTATTTGTAGACCAGAGATGGGTGGGGGGTGAAGGGAAGGAGACTGGGGTCTGGGGTGGGCCATGAACACTCATTTTGGTGGTTTCATCGGCAGCCTCCAGTGGCGGCGGCAGCAGCCGTGAAAAACCAGTCGCGGAGCCCCATCAAGCGGCGGTCGGGACTCTTCCCCCGTCTACACACGGGCGCTGAAGGCCAAGGCGACGGGCGGACACGATGGTAACTGTCCAGTGAGGGGTTTGTGGATCCTTCCACCGCTGCAGCTGCCAGATGGCCAACCTCAGGGAGGGCTTTGCGCTGCTTCGGGAGACGGCTTCCTTCTAACCTTGGTCCCCACTTCAGGCACCTGTCTCACTCTGCTGTGTCCACTGAGGCAGATTTGGCCAGTCTCTGTGTGGGACCTTCCAGAATTGTCCGTGTCGCATTTGGATCCAAACTAGAAATGTTGCTTGGATTCTTTCTTTGCCTCCTTTTCCAAAGCTCACTCAAATGTTCCCTCTTATGGAAGGCTTCCCTGCCAAGACAGTTAATTAACTTTCCTTAGGCTTCTAGAATGTTTTCTGTCTTTTTAAAAGCAGCTCTTATACTGCATGGTATTAACCTGTTCTTGCTCATTGTCTTTCTGATCCTTTAATGGTGAGACCATTTGCCCTTTAATTCAGCAAGTAACATGTCTTGAGTGCTTGCTACATGCTGGGGTCAGTGCTCCAGCAAGAGCTACAGGAGGCACAAACCTGCCTTCCAGAAGCTTACAGTCTTGTGAGGGAAAAGGAGGCATTTAGGTTGTCTGCCTGTCACCCCGAATGGTGACCCCAGGACCCGAGCTTGGGCATGCAGGATGAGGGGTGGGTTTACAGAGGGGGATGAAAAACTCTGTTTGGAACCAGTACGTGTGAGAGTCCTTGTGGCCTGCCCAGCAGAGAAGTGCAGAATTCTGAGTGGTCAGGATGAAAGTCTTAAGCTTGGGAGAGAGGCCTTGACCGCAGAAGGGAGTCAAAGATGCATCAATGAATATGGCCACTCAGGGGGGTGTATAGAATGCCTGGGGGACACCAGCATTTAAGGGCAAGGGGAGAAAGGGAGGGAAGATGAGGGAGAGAAAGCCCGGAGGGGAGGGATTCCAGGAGGGAGAGTCCACAGTGTCAATGTGCAGAGAAGCCCTGCACTGTGACCCGAACCCTTGCTTGGGTGGACAATTAGGAGGTCATTAGCAACCTCATTAAAAGGGCATTGAGACATTCATGCTTCTTGGGTGGCTATAATTAAAGAGACACATAATAAGAAGTATTGGAGAGGATATGGAGAAACTAGAATCCCCAGGCATTGCTGGTAGGGGTGTAAACTAGTGCACCTGCTTTGTAAAATAGCTTGGCATTTCTTCAGAGAGTTAAACTTGGGGTTATCATCTGACTCGGCCGTTCCACTCCTAGGTAGAGACTCCAGAGAAAGAATACACATATCCACATAAAAACCAGCACACAGATGTTCCTGGCTATTCGTAATAGCTCAAGGTGGATAAATAAAATGTGGTATATCCATCAATGGGATACTTTTTTTTGCAATGAAAAGGAGTTGAACCACTGATACGTGCTACAACTTAGTTAACCTCGAAAAGACTATGCTAAGGGAAAGAAGCCAGTCACAAAACACAACACGTTGTGTGATTCCGTCTCTATGACACGTCTGGAAGAGGCAAATCCATAGAAACAGAAAGTAGATTAGTTGGTCGCCAGGGGCTGGGGGGAGGAGGGGATGGGGAGTGATTAGGAGTGGGTCTGGAGTTGCTTTATGGGGGTCTCAAGTGTTCTAAACTTAGATCGTGGTGATGGTTGTACAACTCTGTGAATATGCTAAAAACCACTGAATTACACACTTTAAGTGGGTGAATTGTACGTGGATGGTATCTCAGTAAGGTTGCTGTAAAAATAAAAGTGCATTGAGGACGAGGCCAGCTTGTCCCCAACAGGGGGCGCAGTAGAAATCGTGGGTGTCAGTACATGGTCTTTGTTAAACTACAGGAGAAGGAAGCCCTCGGGCTCTTGGCCGAGAGTAGCCATTTACCAAGGTGCCATTCCCAGCATAAAAGGCCACCTTGTCACACGGATCCAGGGAGCTCATATTGTGGTCTGTGTGAAGGGTGTCCCCTGGACTTATGCACGGTGACCCTGCCCACACTGCCAAGGAGTCCACGTGCACTGGGTTATTTGCCTGCTGTGGGAGTGGATGTTGTAGACCTCACTCCACCCCCCCTGTGGCATTGTTCTTGACTTAGAGCTCTGCCAGGTGGGATGGCCGGCAAAAGTGGGGAGTGGACTTGGGCTCAGGAGCATCAGCGCGTTCTCTTGCTTGATAGCGCTTGGCTCATCCAAGAGCCTAGAATAGCCTGATGCAGCAGAAAACCCCACTCTCCGTTGCTGTCTGAGTGGGGCTCAGGGAAGTGGTGGCTGTGCGCTGGTAGGCGTGCTGTGACCCCTCAGGCCCTATGGGGCTGAGAGCCTGTTGGCTGTCCTAGGCCTGGGGGTGGGGTGGAGGCTCAGGGGCCAGTCCCATGGCCTCACCCCTCTTCATTCCTGTTTCCTTAGTGACAGTGCATCCAGCAACCCCAAGACCCCGGATGGTGCACACTCTTCTCAAGAGATAAAGTCTGAGGCCTCTTCCAATCCCAGCTCTCCGGAAATCTGCCCCAACAAGGAGAAGTAAGAGAGTGAGGGTGGGGGAAGGGCTGACTTTAGCCACTCGGAGCCCTGGAATATGCTCTCTGCTGACAGCCAGCATTTTTGCCTTGAGAATTCTCTGGAAATGTGAAAGGCAACAGGCAGGGGCATGGGGAGGCACTGGCGGGCCAGCTCAGTCTCTGCCAGGTCTGCCCTGCCGGTGAAGGGGGTCTCGCTGAGTGACCGGGGCCTGCCCTACTCCTGTTCCCACAGGCCCTTCATAAAGTTGAAGGAGAATGGCCGAGCCAACATCTCCCGTTCCTCCTCCAGCACCAGCAGCTTCAGCAGCACGGCGGGGGAGGGCGAGGCTATGGAGGAGTGTGACAGCGGGGTAGGTGTACCTCCATCCCGCCCTGGGCCCAGCCAGACCCCCGCTGTATGCATCAAACTAACTGCTGTGGGAAGAGCCCCACCCAGGCCCTGTGGGTAAAAGGGAAGGTAGGGAAGCAAGAGGTGGGCCAGTCAGCCGTCTCTGCTCTCTGGGAGCAGTGGCTCGGGGGGTCTCCGCAGAGGGGCACCGGAGCGGCAGCAGGGGGCCGGAGGCTGCACTGAATGGTGTGTGTCCGTGCAATGGGGCTCCTGGCTGGAGAGGAGAGGGCCGGTGCTCTGTGTGGCCAGGCCATGGGCACTTTGGGGGCAGGGTTAGGGGCGGCAGAAAGAGCAGGTCCAAGTGTGCCAGTGGGAGGCAGTGACCGCCCTGAGCTTGCTGGGGACCTGTGGCAGGCCTGCCATGGCGCGGGTCACCCTGTGGTGCCGCTGAGGACGGAGCTGGCCCTGCTCACCCAGCCTCTCTCCCCAGAGCAGCCAGCCGTCCACAACCTCACCCTTCAAGCAGGAGGTGTTTGTGTACAGCCCGTCCCCGAGCAGCGAAAGCCCCAGCCTGGGGGCGGCCGCCACCCCCATCATCATGAGCCGGAGTCCTACAGGTCAGTGACGTCTGGGCATGTGCACCATGAGGCTGGCGGGGGGAGGGGGCAGGGGCTGTGTCCTGACCACTGTTTGTGGGCGTGAGCCCCAGCCACGCTCAGTCAGGCGGTTTCTGCTTCGGCCCCAAAGGGTGAGGCCCTTGAGCTCTGCTAACCCGCTTCATCTGTTCATCAGCCTTAAGACACCTGTGTTCTTATTGTCTCCTTACTTGTGGGGAAACTGAGGCTCTGAAAGTGCAGTGATTTTTTTTAGTAGAGAAGTTGGGATTTGAAAGCCGAGGCTCTCTTGCCCCACCCCCGTTACTGATGCTGGGTGCCCCTGCCACGCTGTGACCTTGACAGTGCAAGGTTACGGAGCGGGAGGAGTGTGACAGGCGGAGGGGACCGCACATGGTTCCTTGGGCTGCGGTTCATCTAGGGGACAGGTGTGAGAGGAGACAGCACATAGGGTGCCAGGCTGCGGCTTCCATGGAGACCCTGGCAAGGAGCTGGGTGTCATCCTGCTGGCGAGGGGAGCCTTGGAGGGTCTTAAGTGGAGCAGTGTCTTCTGGACTAGCGAAAGACTGTTTTGGTGGCCGCAGCTGGCCGAGCAGACAGGATTGATGGGGAGTGGGCTCAGAGAGAGAGATCAGCAAGGGGTCACAGTGGGCAGTGAGGGGTGGCTGGGCTGTGGATCAGGGGTGTCTGGAGAAATGGGAGAAGGATGTGGGTTCAAGATGCTGACGGCAGAGTCTGCTTGGGATTCTATCTCTCCCTCTCTGCCCCTGCCCCCCTTGTGTTTGCTCTCTTGCTGTCTCGAAATAAATAAATAAACTTAAAAAACAAAAAAAAACATTAAAAAGAAAAGAACTGCTAACCTCAATGTTTGTTAAATAACAGGAATAAAACAATGGTAAGAGGTTCTCAACCGGGGGGCACTCTTGCCTCCCCAGAGCATATTTAACGATATTGAGACATTTCTGATTTTCAGGATTGTGGGAGGAGGGTGTGCTGCTAGCGTCCAGTGGGTAGAGGTCAGGGATACTGCTAAACATCCTACAAAGTACAGGGGCAGTACCTCCGCCCCCCCCGCAAAGAATTATCTGGCCCCAAATGTCAATGAGCTGAGGCTGAGAAACGCTAGTCAAGTGATAGAAACACAGAAAGAGCTGGTTCATGCGCTTGCTCTAGTCCTGCCCCCTGTGCCGGGCCACTGCAGAGCCCGGTTCTTATCCTGGTTGTGGCATGGATAGGTCCATCTCTCTGAGCCTCAGTTTCCTCATCTGTAAAGTGGGTAGTAATACAGATACTCTGATTTTTTAAAAAAATGACGCTTAATGAAATATTGAAGGAATGAATGAAACAATCTGTAACCAAGCCTGGCTCCTACTTGGTATTAGGTACATATCAAAATAAAGTTTTGAGTAATGGGAGGGTTAGAGAGTGTCTGCCACTTGCTGAAGGTCACCCAGGGCAGAAGGGGACCTCGAATGGGCCTGGTAACTCCATCTCCTCTTATCGTACCACACGGTATGTTGCTCTCAACCCCCTTCCCTGGCGCATTATGTAACCCCAGGGCTACTTCCTACTCCCAGCCTCGCAGAAGTTGTGCTGGGTACCTGCAGGACCAGGGTCAGTTTGCAGAGATCTGGAAACTGTTTTGAACTGTTTGGCTGCGCCTGGGGAGAGACGGGGCCGGGGGAGGGAGGTGCCCTCGGAGGACCTGACTTCCAGGCTTCTGTAGTCTCACATGCCCCGACCGTTGGTCATGTCACACCTGGGCTCCCTGGGACCCTGAGAGGGGACTGGCAGGTCACAGTGACAGGTACTCACGGTGCTGGGTGGGACCCCTTGATTCGAAGCACCAGAAATAAGTCAGCAGCCTCTGAGTGGAGGGTACTGACTTGCCGATTCCCTGGGCCAGAGGAAAACCACAAAGCCAAGTGGCCCTCCTGCCAGCAGCGTGCTGGGAAATGTTTAACAACTGGCTCTCCTGCTGTACACACACACACACACACACACACACACACATTTACTATAAACTTTACTGATACAGAGGATCTGAAGTACACAATTTATAAATAATAATCTTTATTATAAATCCCATATTCATACTGATATTTCTCTAACCTTGGTATCTGTAGGCAACTAAAAGTTGCTGATGACATGAATGATGATTGATATTTTGTCAGTGACATGTGCAACCTCTTTGCTGAATCAGATACCGGTTTTCAGATACTGGAAGGGTACGGACTCAGTTTTTGGCCCTGCTTATAATGTAATGGCTACAGACACAATGCATTTTCACATTTAATTGACATTTTTCGTGTTTTCTCAGGGGAAGCCTAGACAACAAAACAATAAGTCAAGCCCTGGTTTTGTAGCATTTGCTGATTTCTGTGGTGTAAATGCTCCTGCCGTGGCTGATCTCAGGCTAGCGGTGAGCTGCGGAGTCGGGAAGGAGCACCAGACAGGCGCCATGGACATAAATAGCCCGAGGAGAGTAGATCGTAATAAAATGCAGAGAAATAATTGGGAAGCGATGACTTCTGAGTGTTTATTACCTTTTGTAAAAAAATGTTTATTTATTTTGGGGGGGGAGGGGCAGAGAGAGAGGGACACAGAATCCCAAGCAGGCCCCGTGCTGTCAGCGCAGAGCCCCACATGAGGCTCGAGCTCACGAACAGTGAGATCATGACCTGAGCCGAGACCGAGAGTCTGATGCTTAATTGACTGAGTCACCCAGGTGCCCCTATTTA